CCCAGGAGTAGAGAAGAAGATTTTTCAAAGAAATAATGCACTTTCACTATATGATGTACATATATATAGCCCCGCCCTAGCACCAGAACCCCTGACCCTGGGGCCATGAATTTCAAAATTTTTGGAAAAAGCATCCTTGTGCATCATTACTTAGTTTGTTTAAATAATATCCAGGAGCAGAGAAGAAGATTTTCAAAGAATTAATGCATTTTCACTATATAATTAATAGAGCCCCACCCTACCACCAGAACCCCTGACCCAGGGGCCATGAATTTCACAATTTTGGAAAAGGCATCATTGCTTATCATAACCATGCACTTAGTTTGTTTATATAATATCCAGGAGAAGAGAAGATGATTTTCAAAGAATTAATGCATTTTCACTATATAATCAATAGAGCCCCACCCTAACACCAGAACCCTTGACCCTGGGGCCATGAATTTCACAATTTTGGAAAAATCATCCTTGTGCATCATTATCATGCACTTAGTTTGTTTAAATAATACCCAGGAGCAGAGAAGAAGATTTTCAAAGAAATAATGCATTTTCACTATATAAATCAATAGAGCCCCGCCCTAACACCAGAAACCCTGATCCATGGGCCATGCATTTCACAATTTTGGAAAAGGCATCATTGCTTGTCATAACCATGCACTTAGTTTGTTTAAATAATACCCAGGAGAAGAGAAGAAGATTTTCAAAGAAATAATGCACTTTCACTATAAAATCAATAGAGCCCAGCCCTACCACCAGAAACCCTGATCCAGAGGCCATGAATTTCACAATTTTGGAAAAGGCATCAATGCTTATCATAACCATGCACTTAGTTTGTTTATATAATATCCAGGAGCAGAGAAGAAGATTTTCAAAGAATTAATGCATTTTCACTATTTAATCAATAGAGCCCCACCCTAACACCAGAACCCCTGACCCTGGGGCCATGAACTTCACAATTTTGGTAGAGTCACCCGTGCTTATTATAGCTATGTATTCAATTTGTTTCAATAATACCCAGGGGTAGAGAAGAAGATTTTCAAAGAAATAATGCACTTTCACTATATGATCTATATAGCCCTGCCCTACCATCAGAAACCCTGACCCTCGGGGCCATGAATTTCACAATTTTGGTAGAGTCACCCTTGCTTAATATAGTTTTGTATTCAATTTGTTTCAATAATACCCAGGAGTAGAGAAGAAGATTTTTCAAAGAAATAATGCACTTTCACTATATGATCTACATATATATAGCCCCGCCCTAGCACCAGAACCCCTGACCCTGGGGCCATGAATTTCAAAATTTTTGGAAAAGGCATCCTTGTGCATCATTACTTAGTTTGTTTAAATAATATCCAGGAGCAGAGAAGAAGATTTTCAAAGAATTAATGCATTTTCACTATATAATTAATAGAGCCCCACCCTACCACCAGAACCCCTGACCCAGGGGCCATGAATTTCACAATTTTGGAAAAGGCATCATTGCTTATCATAACCATGCACTTAGTTTGTTTATATAATATCCAGGAGAAGAGAAGATGATTTTCAAAGAATTAATGCATTTTCACTATATAATCAATAGAGCCCCACCCTAACACCAGAACCCTTGACCCTGGGGCCATGAATTTCACAATTTTGGAAAAATCATCCTTGTGCATCATTATCATGCACTTAGTTTGTTTAAATAATACCCAGGAGCAGAGAAGAAGATTTTCAAAGAAATAATGCATTTTCACTATATAAATCAATAGAGCCCCGCCCTAACACCAGAAACCCTGATCCATGGGCCATGCATTTCACAATTTTGGAAAAGGCATCATTGCTTGTCATAACCATGCACTTAGTTTGTTTAAATAATACCCAGGAGAAGAGAAGAAGATTTTCAAAGAAATAATGCACTTTCACTATATAATCAATAGAGCCCAGCCCTACCACCAGAAACCCTGATCCAGAGGGCATGAATTTCACAATTTTAGAAAAGGCATCAATGCTTATCATAACCATGCACTTAGTTTGTTTATATAATATCCAGGAGCAGAGAAGAAGATTTTCAAAGAATTAATGCATTTTCACTATTTAATCCATAGAGCCCCACCCTAACACCAGAACCCCTGACCCTGAGGCCATGAATTTCACAATTTTGGAAAAATCATCCTTGTGCATCATTATCATGCACTTAGTTTTTTTAAATAATACCCAGGAGCAGAGAAGAAGATTTTCAAAGAAATAATGCACTTTCACTATATAATCAATAGAGCCCAGCCATACCACCAGAACCCCTGACCCAGGGGCCATGAAATTCACAATTTTGGAAAAGGCATCAATGCTTATCATAACCATGCACTTAGTTTGTTTATATAATATCCAGAGAAGAAGATTTTCAAAGAATGAATGCATTTTCACTATATAATCAATAGAGCCCCACCCTAACACCAGAACCCTTGACCCTGGGGCCATGAATTTCACAATTTTGGAAAAATCATCCTTGTGCATCATTATCATTGCACTTAGTTTGTTTAAATAATACCCAGGAGCAGAGAAGAAGATTTTCAAAGAATTAATGCATTTTCACTATATAATCAATAGAGCCCCGCCCTAACACCAGAAACCCTGATCCATGGGCCATGCATTTCACAATTTTGGAAAAGGCATCATTGCTTGTCATAACCATGCACTTAGTTTGTTTAAATAATACCCAGGAGAAGAGAAGAAGATTTTCAAAGAAATAATGCACTTTCACTATATGATCTATATAGCCCCACCCTAGCACCAAAACCCCTGACCCTGGGGCCATGAATTTCGCAATTTTGGTAGAGGGCCCAATGCTTATTACAATCATGCTAACAGTTTGACTGCTTGATGTCCAGGAGTAAAGAAGAAGATTTTTAAAGACAGCACTAATTTTGATGGTTTTAGCCCCACCCCTCAGGCCCCAGGGGGGCAGGGACCATGAAATTCACAATTTTTGTACCCCTTCACCCATTGATGCTATATGCCAAAATTGGTTGAAATTGGTTCAGTGATTCAAGAGAAGAAGCTAAAAATGTTCAAAAGTTTACGACCGACGCACGACGGACGACGACGGACGAAAACAGATAGCAATAGGTCACCTGAGTGACTCAGGTGACCTAGAAAGTCTACAAACAATACATACATATAAGTGAACAGGGCATAAAAACACGGACCCCGGATATTGCAGTTGTGAATACTTTGGCCAGAAAAATAAATAATATTCTGACTGGCTATGGTACATGTACATGTTGAATTGTCCACACGATAAATGAAATCTCTTTATTTCAATATTTACACTTATTGAATGATAATTTCTTTTACTGACGATTAAAAAATATTGATATGATTGCTTTGTAGTTTTCATTCGTAATTTTATTTTTATTTTACTTTTTTTTTTCTTAAAAAAAAGATATTTCTTTATAATTTTTTTTTCCTTCAAAAGATATCGATGAAAACGTTAAGTTAACCAATTTTGTATTAAAGTATATAAATTATTTACAATACATTATTTACAATAGTTTCTCTAAAAATTAGACAAAAACGCGTAATATTGATCCTGATTACCATAGACAGACTTCCTGTGTACTACAATGTGTATAGGGATTTTTGACATCTTGAGTATTGGGGCTCTCCAGGTAAATAACACCAGTACAACTAAGACCAGTCCCTTTCCTCAGGTAACCGTACAGTAAAAAAAATTGGGTCTTTAACTTTAAAACAAACTTCAATTGCAGGCAGTGTTAATTAATTTCAATGTGACAGATAAAAAGATTTTTTGCTTTGGATTTTCTTCAAGAGGAAAGTTAATTAATCCCAAGGGACTCATTGCAGCTCTCACAGTTTACAATAGGAACATTCTTAGCAGTTACATGTATCCCTCTTTGCCCATTCATTCTTATAAGGAATCTACCCCACCACCTCAGCTCCAAACCGGATGACGTAGAGAACCAGACTTAGCATCAAAATATGTCTTACTGCCTAGTCAACCAACATACCAAAGGAGATGGGCGAACATAGCGTGCACAAAGCCTATAGCTTCAGATATATAAAAATCATGTTTAAATTGTGAATTTAGTATTTAGAGTAAAATTCTCATTATTAAAATTTATGAAATTATGATAAACAAAACTTTTCTGAGGAAAATTTTATCGGCAAAACTTATTCTTTTATTTAAAAAATAATGTGGTATTCGTGGGGTTCGAACCCTAGCAATAAAAATCCTGAGTATCATTTTCTTTCGAGACTAGCACGCTAACTACTGGACTACACAAGTCCTTATGAAGAGTGGCATTTAAATCATGTTTGTTATACATGTATGACCCTTGACTTAATGGACTTCAAGTATTTCTCGAAAAGGGGCGAATGTTGTGTCATAAAAGCATATTTTTAAGGTATAGTGGGTCTTTGCTCCATATTTTTGGTAAACAAAAATTGTATATATTTATGCAAACTTTGAGGATTAACTTTGTAAAAAGTGGAGAGAAGACCCACTCATATCGAAAAATAGTTTTATAGTATGAGAAAATGACTCTTTTTGCCCGCTGTAGTGTGTTTATAATATCTTTGAGGGATTTTTGCAAATTGTAGAGATTTTACATAAAGTATATTTTAATGTTAGATAAAATATCAAGGAAAATTTTGATATAATTGAAATTTAATTTTTCACCTTCATGTTTGTCACACTACAGGCTTTTCGTTCGTCATGTTCACCCATCTCCTTTGAACTTAATTGGATAACCACAAAAAAAAGTTATTAGAAAAAAAAACCCAGAAAATTTGTGGACAGAAGAATGACAGACGAACAGAAAAATGGACAGACAGACAGTGATTACTATAGGACACCCGCAAATCCTTGCAGGGCCCTATTTATAATTAAAAACATCTTAATTCTGCCTCAAATACATAAACATGTTAATATAAAGTATGGTATCATTTAAAAAAGATTCACTTTCTTTTCACTGTTATAGTGGTGGCGGTGATGTGCCATGACATACCCATTTAAATTTTTCTTCTTTAAGGTTCCAGGTGCAAACATTTTGGCCAACTTGGTAAAAGAGTTCCGTACCATCAGGGGAAAGTACAAATTGTCCTAGTGTAAAATCCTTCCGGTCACCTGTGTTATCAATCAAAAGCCATCGGTATTATAAGAGGTGAATAAGGTCTAACTCTCTTTCAAGCATCTACATTTGTATCTATACTAACTAGAGATTAATGGACCACGATGCTCACCAGAATCAGATAATTACTAGTGACAAGTGACTAAGGAATTATTATACTGATATAACGTTTTATACTTTCAAATTAATTGATGTACCAAACATAACCTTTTTCTCCAAAGAATGTTTGGACATATAAGTAGGGCAAACAGGCTATCAATAATTTAACTTCTTTGTAACCTTACCCTGATACTGACATGATGATACCAGCTTCAACATTCAATGTCCAAACTTGCTTTTATTCTTATTTAACAAATTGTACTCTCACCTTTCTTGGGATGAAGCCCATGAAAGTTTTCTTATGATTCCTATTTTCCTATGGAAAATTTTTTACCAATATTGTGCCCCATCCCTGTCTCGGAGGGAACGTTTTAAATACACTGCAGGAGAATGCTTTCCTTGCACTTTTCTAAAGCATTTTAAGAGGTATTTCTTTTAAATGGGTTCTTTAAGCGTGAAGAACCAACAGACACCATTGGAGGTACAAATATTCAGATGTAGAGTGCATAAAAAAATATTCAAACGTTTACGATCTTTTATACTTTGCATACTTAAAATAGACAGTATAAGTGTCAATACTATTCCCGTATTTAAAATTAACATAATCATCTATGAATGAAAATGACCAATTACAGCACTATTTGATTTTATATTAATTAAAAACACAGGGAAATAACTTACCAAAATTCAAGGTTATAAATTAGGACACATCCCACTATTACATTATGATAGTAATAAATGGGAACTATGTCTAAATATGCATAGTATTTAACCTCATGTATTCAATTTCATTGAATCTGTTGCTATTTGGAATGGAATCCCTTAACTTCTTTATTGCTGGTTCAACGTCCAACTTCTTTAGCTAGCTTCTGAATGTCTGGCTTTCCCAAAGCTTTACCAGATAAGTTTTTTTTTTTTTTAAATATGACTCATTGATTTTTTTAATAATTAAAAATAGAGGGCTTTATATACCCTTTGGCTTGTCCATCCCTAGGGTTGTCAGGTCATTCCACTATTTGAAGTCTTCAATGCGTTTTACTCAAATGCCCCTTAACCATTACACCTATATATTCGTATGTAAAAATTTGACCCACTCTTCCAATTTGGTCCCGCTCTTACAAAGTAATCATGAGTCGCCCGCGTGGCGCAGTGGTTAGAGCATCTGCTCTAGAGTCGCGGTGTAAGGAGTTGATCCTTACGTCGCGGGTTCGAATCCCACTGTGGGACGTGGAGACTGGTCCTTCGGATGAGACCGTATAAACCGAGGTCCCGTGTCGCAGTAGGTGCTGGCACGAAAAAGATCCCTCACTGCTCAATGGCCGTAAGTGCCGAGCATAGGACAAAATTTGCAGCTCTCCACCGGCAAGTGGTGGCGTCTCCATATGAGTGAAAAATCTCGAGAAGGGCGTTAAACAACATACAAACAAACAAATAAACGAAGAGGTCATGATTTGAAGAAACTTGAATCTGCACTACCTGAGGATACTTCTGTATTAATATGACAAATAATGGTTTAGCTGTTTTTGAGAAGAAGATTTTTAAAGATACTTTCTACATATTCCTATAGTAAACTTTGACCCCCTGTTGTGGCCCTGCCTTACCCCCAGGGGTCATGATTAGAAAAACTTGAATCTACACTACCTGAGGATACTTCTATTATAATTTGACTAATTATGGCTTTACTGTTCTCGAGGATATTTCCTATATATTACTATAGAAAACTTCGACCCCTCCCTGTTGGCCCGACCCTATCCCCGCTTTCACACAAGTTTCATCTTTTGTTACCCAGTAGTTTTTGAGAAAAAAATTTAAAAGATGCTACCAAATTTTCATGAATTTTCCCCCTTAGAAGAGGGCGTGGCACTTTCTGTGAACAAACTTAAATCCCCCTCTCTCAAGGATGCTTTGTGGCAAGTTTAGTTGATATTGGCCCAGTTGTTCTTGAGAAGAAGTCGAAAATGTGAACAATTTACGGACGACAGACGGACGCCGGACACTTTTTGATCAGAAAAACTCACTTGAGCCTTCGGCTCAGGTGAGCAAAAGCAGTATACGGAGTATTTTAGATTCATTAATAGAATATTTCGAAGTGCATATTTTCATCTTTAAAATAGGTTTTCAAATTTAGAATGTAAATAAGAAGTAAACACTACAGTGGGAATAACCTGGTGAAGACTGTGCAAATAGAGATAAGATAACAATTTTTAAAACACCATATCAAGTTCTCTTATATATTTAGACTTCAAGTACAAGACGCATTCTGTATCCCATACCTTCTATAAACCTGTCCTCTGTCATGGTAGAGATGTCTAGAAATCTTATATCATTGTTGAATCGGATGGAAAATATGACGTGTCTCTCATCTGGCATTATTGCAAGAGACTTGATGATATGACGTCTTTTAACCTTCTCTGGGTATGGAATATTATACAATGACACCATCTTTGTCAATAGATCAAACACAATGAACTTCTCCCGTGGTTCCACTGTAGCGGCTACTAATGATTTAGAGCCTACGGATTCAGATAATTATATCGGATAACTTTTTATTTCAGACATTAAGTTATCAAGTATTTTAAAAGGAGGGAGCATAAAATAAAATTGCAAGGTATATAAAAACAGAATGATTATAGCGAAAAATGTCCAAATTCGCATTTATTCAATTTATTCTCTATTTTAGGCAATAATTTTCTCCTCATACAATTTCCCATTTTTAGAGCTAGAGCTTCTGAAAGTGTAGCCTTACTCTCATTCTGTACAGAAATGACTTACCGACTGCAACACCAGTCTCGCTAAATTGAACACCTTCCGGGCATTTAATCGTGTCCGTCTTCTTTCCAGTTTGAGCATCGTACCATTCTATGGTATTGTCCTGGAAAACAAGAAAGGCGACTCTCCCCTTGTGTGCTGGACAAAGAAGAGTTCTTTCTTTTGGGATAGAGATTGTGTACGCAACTTCGCCAGTTTCTTTGATTGCAACGAGGTTATGATAAAAATGAACCAAGATCATGGAATCATTACATATGAAGAAAACTTTGACAGCTCTTTGGGCAATGTTTTCGATTGATTTGATCAGCTTTCCGTTTTTTACATCCCAAAGTTTGATGCTATTATCCGGATGGTATGCACCTTCGAAGAAAAAGAAGAACAGAGAAATAAATATTATGAATTTATCGATAATTAACATTTTTTAATTGTCAAAACACTTGCATCAATAAAAAATGATCAACAGTTTGTATCAACCCAAACAAAATCAAAGTTAAGAAACAACTTAACATTGTAAAGTTTTCATCTAATTTAAAATATCATTAAACAGGACACAAAAATAAATTCAATGTACATAAACTTACAGCTTACTACAGTTGACCCGTCCTGTTTCATATCCACGGCTCTCAGTTCTTTAGTGTGACCCGATAAGGAGTAGACTAACGACCCTCCGGGCTTCATCAACATATTGCGATAGGGCAGTAAATAACTAAATGGGTAGTCCTTCAACTGAGTCAGGAAGGTGGCTGCAGTCTTTATTTCAGAAAAAAAAATCAATGCAAGTACAGTATTTGAAGAAGCATTAGAAATATCTAGTTATTGGTTTCCACACATTGAAGGAACATTAGCTTATATTAAATCCAATGAATATTTTCTCCTTTTTTTAAAAGCAATATCAGTAATAAACTATTAAAAGTTGTTTTTTCAATGCAACATTTAATCCCTGAGAAACAAAGAAAACATTTTATTATTTAATTAGATTAGTCGTCTTTATAATGAATTTTACACATAAACTGTATACATGTTTTTATAAACTTAACATTTATCCTCCTTACTGTAATAAAATGTGAAGTTAATGAATTATTATAGTGATCATGCTAAAGAGTCCAATTAATAATTAAAAATTGACAGCAAAGCAAACATGGACCTCTGAAAACACAAGAGATATGGGATCACGTGCCATGGAAGAGTAACATTCTTTGTCGTCCCGTCACACCCCTGCAACACCTTTTTCTTGATAGGCGCGGGTAAACAAAGTAATCCGTAGAAAATACAGAATGAAAATAATGGCTTAAATATTTGTACTAAAATGTCAGTCAACATTCGACCAAACAACCATAGAATTTGCAAAATGTTGACTTCAAGTTGTTTATAGCCTTGTAATATCAAGTTATTTGTCACTTGTCTACCTCTGAGTAGAAACTGATCGTTCGCAGAACATGCACTTGCGAACTGAATCATCTGGGAGACATAAACACCATATATGCAGGTGATAATGGTATACTGCTACATAAATAAGGGAAGTTGACGAAAGAAAAGTTAGAGCGTCTACTCTAGAGTCGCTTAGTAAGGAGCTGATCCTTACGTCGCGGGTTCGAATCCACTGCGGGACGTGGAGACCGGTCCTTCGGATGAGACCGTATAAACCGAGGTCCCGTGTCGCAGTAGGTGTTGGCACGAAAAAGATCCCTCACTGCCCAATGGCCCTAAGTGCTGAGTATAGGTATGAATTTGCAGTCCTCCACCGGCAAGTGGTGGCGTCTCCATACGAGTGAAAAAAATCTCGAGAGGGGCGTTAAACAACAAAAAACAAAACTCCTGTTGTCTGCAAATTAAGGTATGTCACTCGTCAGCTTTTTAGAAAAGTTCAGGCAGAACCTCTTACTTCAAAACTATTTATTAAAATTCCATTTTCATAACATATTTAAATGAAACAATGTAAATTGTTCAACATTCAATGAAAAAACTGCTAAAAAATTCATAAAGAAGCAAAATTTATGAGGAACTATTTCTTGTGGTGGAAGGATATTTAGCAGAAAATTCTGCAAACCAGCACATTTATTAAATTTAATATCTTGGATTTTTAGCCTCACATACTTTTACTCAGAGAATATTTTCCGTTATGATATGCTAGGAATATTAAATATAGGTCTTACTTTATATTTTTATAGCAAATTTTACACCTTCCCTCAACAAACTTTGCCGAGAAATGAAGATATATTAAAGAAGTCAAGATAAAATTTACACAGTTTTTGACCTGAAAATCGCATATTTTGACCAATATTTCAAAATTTACATCACTGACCCCAGCTTTTTCTTTCATTATTTAAAACTACTCGATACTTGTGACTGATCAGCACTCAAGTCGTAAAAAGTTTGATACAAGAAAATATTTTATTGCCCATTTAGATTTTTAATACCCAAATATGTTACTTTTTTAGTGCAAAAAGGTCACACAATAATTTACGCGCATTAATTTGCAAGATTTGTTCAATGATAAATATTATTCAAACTATTTTACGTAAAATAAGATTATATTTATTGCCATGGTTACATCTGATAAAATATGATAAGGGTTAAAGTGATTAACCAAAGAGTTAAAATTTAAGTGCAAAAAGGTCAACTTAATTGTACCGTAGCTCAGTCAGATGCACACTGACCCCCTGTTTTCTCTGCGATTTTGAGTCATACTATATGAGTACTTATCCAAAATATACTTCTCAAAAAATCCTTGATATAACAAATTTCACGAGTGACATACCTTAAGTGTTAAGTTCACAAGTTAATAAATATCTTACAGATGATTGAAATTTGAACTTAAGTCTGTGTTCCACGATCCCGCTGATTTTAGAAGACTACATAGATATTGTCAATGAGAAACTCATATTAACTTTGGAGTATTTGTGTGAAGAATCGGAACGATTTTTAATAAAATAATTTTGTAGTATATATAGAATATAAATATTTTACGGGAAGCTATCCAAGAAAGGTGCTTTAGCTGTCACAAATAAATGGAGAGGAATAATGTTGTTGTCAGTTACCAGCAAAGTCCTAAGCAGAGTCATCTTGAACAGTATGGCCTCAGTGGTAGACTCATACCTTCGTAAAGAACAAATTGGATTCAGAGAAGGAAAATCATTTTTAGACCAGATTTTTTCCTTGAAGAAAATTTTAGAACAGAGTAATGAACGGAACACAATGCTGCTGTATGCCAACCTCATCGACATTGCCGAAGCATTTAATAGTGTACATCGTCCTGCTTTATGAAGATCCTCACACATCATTCAGATGCTTTACAAGGACTTCCAGGCAAAGGTGATCTGTGGCACAGAACTGACAAACAGCTTCCCAATACAAATGGGAGTGAGACAGGGATGTCTGGCTTCACCACTGCTCTTTACTTTCTGCGTAGACTGACCAGTCAGGCCAATAGAGGAATATCCTGGACATTTCAACAATCACTCGAATATCTTGACTCAGCAGATGACATCGCTTTACTAGAACAGCGAAATAAGGATATCCTTAGCAAAACTGATGACCTAATCAAGTATAACAGACAAACTGGACTACATATAAATGTAAACAAAACAAAATTAATGAAGATAAATACAAAGATAGATAAGGAGGTCACAGTAAACAACAACAGAATAGAATAATAGACAATTTTATCTTGGCAGCAAGATCACAGCCAATGGAGATTCCATCGAGGACGTTGAAAATAGAATATATAGCAAAAGCCTGTGCCACCTTTACAAACCTACGGAACATCTGGAAGTCTTTAATTTATTTATCAGAACCAAAACCAAAATAAGGATATTCAACACAATGTTACTGGAGTCCTCCTTTATGGATCTGAGTCCTGGAAGAGGGCGACCAAAGGAGACATGGCGGCGATCAGTGAAAAATGAGATGAAAGATCAGGGATGGACTAGGGCGTGGTGCTGTAAATGTCAGCGGACAGGCAGAGATGGTAGTCCTCGGTAAAGGCTTTTTGTGCTCAAGGCAGGAGGAGGACTAAAGCAAGAAAGTACGTATAAATATTTTACAGTCAAAATAACTTATTTCACAGCACTTTTGACAGTTACCTTCTCTGATGAAAGTCTGTCAATCAATTGTGGGACAAGCTGCAATTTATCAAAGATAAGCGCATGCTCCGAGAGTTGTAGCGTGTCTCTAATTATACAAATTTCCTTGTCACTGATCTTCTGTGTAGCAAGTGTGTAATCAGACAGTAGATTGCTAAAAAACATTAGAGGAAAAATACCTTCATAAGACAAAATCAAATAATTCCAAAATAATTTGCTCCCCTTACTAATTCGTTCAAAGACAATGCAATATACATTACCTGCAAGATGTGGCAAGAAGCTTGCAAAACATAAATCTGAAGCTGCACAGGCTCTCCATCTTGGCTAGATCTATCTGACCAGCTTTAATTCTGTGATAAGGCAGGTTATTCAGTTTCCGTACATTGAATGTACTTCCGAACATCAGTGGCTGTGATGAGACAAACCTGTCCGCCTCTGAGATTTTACCAGACTTATCTTTGTATGGTTTCTTTTTTCCTAAATATACAGAAAGATTATATTTACACTAAACTATGTATCATCACATACATACATAGATTAAGAACTTCATTTACTGTCATTTCAGTGTATTCTTTGGGAAAGCACTAAACACAATGAACTACATGTAATTTTACTAAATACACTTTATGCCAAAATTTTAATATATTTTGGGCCTAATTTTCCATTCCGGTGAATTTTTTTTAACCAGGAAATCATGATTTTACATATTACAGAGAAAACTAATATCAATGATAAATATGAAGAAAAAAAACAAGATACAGGGTCTCTGATGGTGAGAAGAGTATAGTAATTCCATTCTGACCTATTATTGATAGTACTTCTAAATCTGACCTCACGAAACGAGGCTCATGTATAGTCTATATTATGGAGTTTTCTGTACTGTTCAGATGTTTAACTTCGTTACTAATGGTATTTATAAAAATAGAAATAAATTGTACTTAAGGACAGATGCTACAAACCTCCCCCCCCCCCCCACCTAAATTCATGAAAATAACAATTTCATAACAACTACATATATTTTCATATAATTATGTTTTACTGCAAAAGGTTTCATTTCATTCAAAATTTTTCAATAATGCCCTTTGAAGTGATAAAAAAATGCATAGAATTTTCGAGGTGATGACAAACAATAAGAAATTTGAACATGTCAGAAAGCCTACAATTTTTTCATAATTTAAAAATTATATTTATGCATCATTTGCAACCTATGGAAGTCAAAATAGATATCGTATCTCAAACATGCATCAATTGTTTTGTTTGTAGTGTGTGTCCTTAAAATATTGTTCCTGTGATCTTAAGTCTTTTGGGATTATAGTTACTTTACCATTGGACCATGTTCCATTGAAGAAGTCCGCCAGTGCTACATGTAGAGTCTCCTCTTTCTGACAGTAGCGCTCTTGTGCTGCCTGTATAAACTGTCTGTGGTACCAATACATCACCGTCAACCCATCAGCACCACGCTCAACTGTAACAATGTAAACAAAACACACTATAACAGCATTTATATGACACTAACCCATATACATTACAGATGTATTGTACTATCATATCTTGACTAATTTTTTACTTAAGACCAAAAGATATCTTTCGAACAGAAATTGCCAAGGGTTAATATTATACTACATGTAATTTATTTGAATGTTTTCATGCTAAAGTTATAAGAAAAATATGACCTTAGACATTTTAAACCAATGCTAAGTTTTTTTGTCCTACCAATATATTCACTTAAATCCGCTTTCAGTCTGAGTAGTAGTAATGGTGGCAGACGACGAAGAGGGGGCGTCCAGTAAGTGTATACGTCATTAAGTACGTCATCGTCACACGCTAGAATGTCCTCTATCTCTCCTTCTGATAAGCCACTTTTTGCTATAAATTATAAGAGCAATTTCATTGAAGCTCAACTTCAAATATGATTTGAAATACTTATTCAAAGGCAACAACTGAATTCAAATTATTGGTAACCTGATAAAAGAATTAACTTGATCATGCATAATTTGGAAAAGCGTCAGAAGAATTGAATTTAATGGACACCTAATTTGAATACGCCTAAATTGGGAAAAAAAACCTTCAGTTTATATTATCTACCTGCTGTAATGTAACCAAGTGTTCTTGATACAAATAGTTCACCATGTATTCTCTCTAACCGGAAGAAGAGACGATTGATACTGTCTCGTATTGTTGTTTGCAGTCTGGTTGAATCTTTTGTTGCTGATGATGTCCATCTACAGGCTTCATCAAATGACAGTTTCAGATTCAGTGGGAGGGGGCACTGATCAAAAGATTGCAATAACAAGTCTCTCTGCAACTTTGTAAGTGTCCTTTGTTTTCCTTTTAACCAAGAGTCAACAATACTTTTTACATCAACTTCTGGTAATTTTTCCACAGCAATATAATTGCTAGAGGATGGATAAAGAAATCTGATTGAGGGGAAACATTCGTATTTCTCGTCTTCCAGGGTTGACACTATAATTCTGACGTGCTGTGGTACATGGGTTGGCATCCATCCAAGCTGTCGACCCTGATGAGAAGTATCTAGCTGATCCATCGAATCTAAAAGAAGGAGAAGCTCTTTGTTCTTTGTTGGTAAATCTTGCAAACATCTCTGAAATTCTAAGACAAGCTCTTCTGGGTCCTGAAGAAAATGAGTAAAATATTAACAAATGCAACATCAAATAAACACCTTTTGAAAACATAAATTAAGACAGCAATTGTATTGTATTTGTTACTTACCTCTGAAGTTATTGATGTATCACCAAACACAGTTTTAATTTGGAGACATATACTTTTCAGCAAAGAATTGATATTGGAGCTCCTGGGAGTAGTCCCAATGAATCTACCACACAAAAATTGTATATTTATTAGCGTTTTTCTCCTTTTTCATTTAGAATAGCGTTTATTTGCACACCATTGAGGAATTATTTACCTGATAACAACTACCGTGTCCTGTACGGTAGAGGCTGTCATCATAGCTGTTTGGGCCATGATGGACGTCTTGCCAGAGCCAGACTCACCATGGACGACTAGTGGAGCATCGCCATCGTTGTTCAGGTAGGATTCTATTTTCTAAAATATGATGAGAAAGCTAAATACTTCAATTCGAAGACATCTGATATAATGTCCCATGATTTGTCAACTTCTAGATACATGAATAAGACTACATGTATGTAAAATTGTGTGCACATATAGAGCACAAATTAAAATAAGTCTTTAAAAAATAGAAGTCTTTTTAACATGTCCTCTAACTTTATCTCATTAAATAAGGTTAATAAATACCTTCATAACATTGCCACGACCATGAAAATTTTTCGATTTTTCGTGAGCAAATCTAAGATGTTGGAGACATTCTTCAAACAGTACATTGTTTTCGACTGTGCCTTGTTCTCTTTCTTGGATTCCAGCTTTGATTAATCGACAGATGTGTGTTTCAAAGTCAGTAGTCATTTTCTTTAAGTACTCCTTGTGTTGGCTGTTCTCTGGATCAATCCCTAAATTAGTATATTAATGACCCAAATCTTTTTTTTTTCATGTAAAAAAAAAATCAAATTTGAAATTAAAAATGTTGACAATATTGCCAGGAATTATTTCCTTTTTTCAGAAAGTGTTAATATAGCTAGACCAGCGTGCGTCTACCTTTCTCTGTCCAGTCAATATCATAGGTATAAATGTTCTCAGGGGAGAGAACCTTTGGAATTTTCTTTTCCTTCAAGTCACTCAACATCATCTTTGCCTTCTTAATCTTCTCCTCTGGGCCCAAGCATTCTATTATTATATAACACAGATAGAATACTTCAGGCATAAAATATTGTTTTAAGAAATGATATCAAAATATTTCCATACTCTTGGAACAAAAGAAATAATTATTAAAACCAGAATTATGTTAGCAAGTCACTTAGAGGACTTCATATTCATATACGATTGTGTGTGCGTGTGTGTACACAATAAAATTTACCTGTAAACCTAGAAACAAGCTTGGAGGATTCGGCTTTGTCAATCCCCCGGATATTTCTTTTGAACCATAAACAATGTTTGTTTGCATCCTTTATATCCAACAGTCCTGCTTTTACTTCTTTTTCAGAGACTGAAAAAAATGTGTTTAATGTTTAAACATGAATCTTAATTTTTTTTATTAAACTGTACGGAAGTTGAGACAACTGATATCTACAATACTATTTGTGTAGTTTATTTTAATCTTTAGTGATACACTGGTACAAATCCAAATAGGATTATAGTAATATTTCTTTTTTGTCTTCGAGAAGACACAGGTTGATACTAACCGGAAATGACGTATTTCTCAGCCTCCGTCTCTTCTAGTGCCTTTTTAGCGGCTTCATATAGCGCTTGTTGCATAGCATCGTTATCCTCCCACCATTTTGACTTGGCTACCAATTTTTTATCGGCGTCTGGCGAAAGAAATTCTGGTAAGATTTTGCTGATTGACTGCAAAACGTATAACGGAGGCACAGCGTTGTCATCCCTGATGTACCATCTACATTATTGATAAAAATTATTGAATGAAAAGAAACGCGTATTGTAGGTAAAGAAAGGTAAATTTGAAAAGCATAAAAAAATGGACTTACTTCTTTAACAATGCAGTATTCTTTTCATCTTGGACACATTTCAAAATTTTCTCAAACTCTAATGCATCTATTTCTCTCGGCAGCGCACAGTACCCGTATTTATGTGATAACATTGTCTAAAGTCAGTTAATATATAAATAAATAATTTTGAAGATACTACATGTTTCTTACATGCAAAATTATTGAAAAGTTGATTATCTGATCTAAAAAATAAAATGTGAACAAACATTACGGTAAACATGACTGTTCGTTTATATGCACACAAGTAGAATCAACTATGCACCTTTTTAAGTGTGTAAAAACCAAATTCATTTATCATGTTTATATTTAAAACAATAAATATTATACAACATTTTAAAGTATGAATTTGAACCCTTCAAAATAAAAAATGACGTATACTGACAACAAAGAATGGTCCAGTAGACATGTCTCGACACTGGGTCAGTTCCTTTAGACATAACGTCGTTCCCATGTGGTCATCTGTGGACTCATCCCTGACTCCCCATCTCATATCCACCACCTGGAAGTCGTAACCTTGGGTTTGACAAAACAGTTTTATTCTGGGATACGTTTCCTCCAGAAGCATGTTTCGTTCCAACATGGTGTCTAAAATTATCAAAGTTAGAGAGCTAAACTTACATTCTTTTTAAAAAAAAAATGATTCATGTATTTTTCATCTTTGACACAATTAAGAGATGTGCATATTGAAAAAACTGTTCAGGAATAATATTTTTTTTTTCAATTTTCTTCATTTCGATTTTTTATTGATTGCAAAGTGCACCTGTAAATGTACTGCTTGTGTTACCTGTAAATGTACTTCTAATGTTACCTGTAAATATACTGCTTGTGTTACCTGTAAATGTACTTCTAATGTTACCTGTAAATATACTGCTTGTGTTACCTGTAAATGACTTCTTGTGTTACCTGTAAATGTACTTCTTATGTTACTTGTAAATATGCTGCTTGTGTTACCTGTAAATCTACTGGTTTCTGTTACCTGTAAATGTACTTCTAATGTTACCTGTACATATACTTCTTGTGTTACCTGTAAATGTACTTCTTGTGTTACCTGTAAATATACTGCTTGTGTTACTTGTAAATGTACTGCTTTTGATACCTGTAAATGTGCTGCTTGTGAAAATTCGAACTACTTTCGATGTTTTGGGGAGAGGTTTGGTAACGTCACCAAGTAAAACGAAATGATTCGACGACTTGGATTGATTGACATCGTTTTTTGAGTCGGCAAATCGTGATTTTGTAGTAGACTTCTTTATCTCCAGATACTGTTTTATCTGTGCATATAGAGTGTCAAACTCGGGCAGTTTAGTACCGCCTTTTGTTTCTTTGTTGTGCTTCGATGTTGGAAATTTTGAAGTTTTATTAGCCTCGAAGGAAGATATCCTAGATTTTAATGGCGGTCTCGCTTTGACGTCTGTTGAATGTGGAGGCTGTAAGACTGCGCATACTTTGTGGTGTGTCGATCTTGCTGCAGTCGACTTATTGGTAGTCTTTGTTGTGTTTGCGCTGAAACAATCCACAATGAAATCAAAATGACTGTGCGTGTCTATCGATATCACTACGTGTATGCATGCTTACGTGTCTACATACTTCAGTCTTTTTATTATGAAATAAGGTATCATTTTTAAACATCTATCGGGATATAAATACGGGTTGGTCACGAGATCAAATTCCATAAAGCCCGAAGCTTTATGGTAAATTTGATCTCGTACCAACCCGTATTTATATCCGATAGATGTTTTAAAATGATACCTTATTACTTATATTTACATTTGTGACTTATTCATATTATTTATTAGCCTGATTATAACCTTTAACGCGTGAAATGTTTTATTTCTTCAAACTCAACGGCACAAGTTTGATCTATTGATTGCGCGTCAACCCTTTATGACGTCACTGAGAAATTACGTCGAACGTTTATGACGCGAGGAACCCGTGTTTATACGGATATAGATACACATTGCTTTTAATAGTGTTATATAAAGAAAAACATTTGCATATGTAAATATAGCTATATATCAATCCATACAAACTTGTATTCAAAGCGATTTTAAATGATGAAATGTGATAGCAGAATGATATCTGTGAGTTTAACAAATAAGAAAAATATTTTTTCGAAATAAAGTGAAGGAAGAATGCAGATAATACGAGCCTTAAATTATTATTTTTTGCATGACATTTTCATAAATGCTAACAACTCAGTTTCTGTGCACACATCGGGTAATTTCTATTTCAATTGAAATTTAAGCGGAAAAAAATTTCATTACGTATATTTTATGATATCACTTGATTAAAGAAATAGTATGTAACGCAGTTTTGACAAAATCTTATTGAACACTAGGGTTTTTAACTTTTCATGATCTGGGCAATATGGAAGCTTCTTGCAATAAACTGTTTAAAATTCCTGATAAATTTTACACGAAATGACCGCCTTACTATTTTTTATATTTGTGAATGTTCCTGGATACGCGTAAACACTGCAGACGTGCATTTCAGTATAAAAACCTGTTTTTTCAACATCATTTGATCATATCTTAAGAAGGGTAATAGTATTTTTAAGTAAATACCCATTAATTTCTCATGGTTATTTATGTTATACATATAAATAATTAAACAATATACCTGCTTTGTCCTCCAACATTTCGTGTCCTCTTCATGTTATTATTTTTAGCTATAATTCATAGCTATGAATAAATCGTGAAGAATACAACAAATGACCATAAACACTGTTCGTTAAAGTTAAACAAGTCAAAACAGAGTGTCCAAATAAAGCCGATTGAATTTACATGCATCAATGATTCGTGTTCTACCTGAAAACAAAAAAGGAGTGGATCGAAGATTATTGCAGTATGGAACAAAATAACAGACAATATAATGAACTACACGATGCGATGAGTTCCGTTTCTCTACGCCGTCTCCATTCTAAAATGCGTTTTCTATATTGAATCTTTTTTTTTTTGGCAATTCACTTGTGCTACCTCAAATTACTATGAACTTATATTTCAGACTGGACTTTTTCTATGACACCAATATGCATCTTAACAATACTGAATGTCTTATTTCAGGCCCGTAGAAATAAATTTCAGCTGGGAAGGGTTGGGGGGGGGGCACAACCTTACAGAAATTAAAAACACAACCAGGCCTTTTTTTAAGGTGGTACAGCCGTAAATTAACCATATAGTACATGCTGGCAAAATAATTTAGGAGCACAACTGTAAATCAATTTTGTTTTCAATGTTGTTAAAAGTATTGGAACTCCCCACCCCACCCACCCCACCCCCGGTTCCTGCGGACCTGTTTTTTAAATCAAATAGAGGTACATGAAATAAGGTTTTCAAAATATTAGTAACATTATTTTAGATTACATGTATGTGAGCGATAAAAGCGAAACAAGGTTTTTCAAGCAGAAATATTCATATTTCATGTGATTAGTAACTAAATTGCATTTACAGAGCTCCAGATAATTTTTTAGCATAAAGTGTATTTACTCCCAGATTTTAAAATCAATGCAGATTTTGCTTCCCGACAAAAAGCTAAGAGAGTATTTTGTTGATTTATTTCCCATTTGACCATTGACAAATATTTTACTTGTGTAGCTAAGAAATTAAAATCAATATGGCTTTGACCTTGTTATCAAAGTTACTTTTTAAATAAACAACAACAACATAGAATGCATTCTGCATTTATGTTAACTTAAAATATCAAAATAAAAAATACTAACATTGACTACATGCATTTGTCATAATTCTCTTATAACATAAAAACTAAGTTATTGTCTGATATTACTTTCAAATAACAAAACATTCTAGTCTCTGAAATTGAATCAACACTTGACTTTCTTTGTGGCCCTTGCTTTATATGGTTGGGCCAACCTGGATTTTCTTCTTCTTTTCTTGGCCTCCCATAATGCCACTGAATCTCTTGGATTGAATGTTGTCAAACTCTTTTCATTCAGAGCAATGGTGATTAAATTATTCAAATTATCTGTCTTGAGAGAGCTCCTGTATTTTGACTTTATTCTGTTTTGAGTACTGAAACTCCTCTCACATTCTACGCTTGTGACAGAAATACAAAGCGCAATTGTACATAATTTTGAAAATTCAGGAAACATATCATCTGCCTTGATAACTCTTTTGCAGACTGCAGACACTGGCAATTTTTTGTATGATCCTGACAACATTCCTTTCAACATAGGCCACTCTTCTTTGAGCTGTTTTGCATTCAGTAGACCAGAGACCTGATTAATCTCTTCATGGTGCCCTGTTTCCATGTCCCCATGTACTATTTTAACAGTTTTCTCTTCACCATAAAACACACCAAGGGCTTCTATGGCATTTTCTGATTCATTTTCCTGGGCATCATTGAGTACAGAGGGCTCTAGCAGAAGACTAAAGTCATTAAATATCTGACTGTCTTCTTTTCTGAATCTATGCTTTATATTTTTTTTCACCTGGGCTATGTATCGTTCCCTCAGACTATTAAAATCACTCTCAACTTTTTCTGAATAATGGGTAAGCTTTTCCTCCTTCAAAAAGGCAACTTCTGAACCCTCTTCAGTTCTTAGTATGCAACATCTTATTTCTCTCTGTGCTGACCCATCCTTAGCTTCAAGAGAATCCAGTTTTCCTAGTGTAGCATCCATTAAGGGCTGAATATCACTAAAGACAATATCTTGTTTTTGTAACTGTTTACTCAAACAACCCAAAACTTCATGCACATCAATTACAAAAGCAACCATTAGTACAGTTTTGTATTCTGAAAAGTACTTTAAAAGTCCATGGGCTTGGGACTGTTTTTCTGCTGCAAAGTTGGACAGTGTAGCCAACACTGAATTATATGACTCAAACACTGCTTCAACAGCATTTTTCAAACCAAGCCATCTAATGGCGTGGGGTTCTTTAACAGTGAGCTCTGGCTCTCCCAAAAGCTTCTGTATTTTTGCCAATTTTGTTGTGCGATTACTTGAGGCATGCATATAGAGATACAAAGAATTAAATTTTTCTCTGAATTTATCAAGTATTGGCTCCTTTTTATTGCATCAACAATGGCAAGATTTAAACGATGTGCAATACAATGTGTTTGCACAAGAAAGGGAGAATATTTAGATTTTATTTGAACACCAACTCCCGTTTTCTTTCCCATCATTGTTGAAGCACCATCAGTAGCGAGAGACACTATCTTTGATGGGTCTAATCCAAACTCTTCCAGACACTGGACAACTCTCTGAACAATTGTATGTGCTTTTCCATCCTCAACAGAAACATTGGCTAAAAACTTTGTAACAGCTTCTCCATCTTTGACATATCTAATGCAAAGTGACAGATGTTTCTGAACTGTTAAATCTGTACTCTCGTCAATCATAACAGCATAGAAAGAGGACTCCATAATGTCCTTTATAATTTCTCTTGTAAAAATTGTTGCAATGCAACTCTGAATTTCTTTAACTGTATCCCAACTTACATTCTTGTACTTGATGATTGCTCCATTCAAGTTTTGCAGCTCAAGCAAACTGTTTACTTTGTCATTTGGGAGCTCTTCCTTTGCCTCATAGAAAATTGTTCTGAAAAGCTTTTCATCATCACTGCTTATAAAGAGAGATTTAATCAATGACATGCAGATTAATTAATAGAATTTTTTCGGCTGGGGGGGGGGGGTGTAAAAATTTATTAAAAGTTTTTATATCCTGTTCTGAAAAGCTTTTCATCATCACTGCTTATAAAGAGAGATTTACTAGCCTCGATATTTACATAATGCTCTTCCTCTAATTTTTTGCGTAACGATTTAAACTTAATTCCTCAGCTTTTACATGTTCTAGACATGTGCTATGTCTCTCTATTGCAGTTTTTTGAAAATTAGTCGAACCTTGGTTTGCCCATACCGTTTTCACATTTTGCTCGCTGCATATTCTACATATTAGCACTCTCTGATTTCCCTCACCTTGAACTTTTAACCAAAGATACTTTTGCCTCCATGAATCGATTGTTTTCTCCGTAACTTTTTCGACCCCGTGTTTTCTCTCATTTACGACAGTTGTAATTATATCCTCCAAAATAGAGGACACAAGCTTGGCTGTATCAGTAGTAAATGAGCCTGCTGCACAGCCTTTCTTTTCAAAATAATCAAATAACGATTTATTCTGATCAACATCTTTTTTCCGAAACCGGCCTGGTTTATTTGTCGCCATAACTAACATTTGTCGTAATCATTTAAACGCTTTTAAGTGTGTATTTCATGTAAGAAAATGAAAGTACCGAGCTAACCTCGAATTACGTTATTAGATATGTCGTACTTGTTTTATTCTATACAGAATACGCATTACTTCGGACTTCAATGCTTCTTTATGACTACTAATGCGTATTTGTACGCACAATTTTGAATTTTAATGCGTATTTTGTAAATTTCAATGCATATTTCTGCAAATACGCACCTTATCTGGAGCTCTGTCATTTATTTTACTTTCATTGATAAAATATATTTGTGTAAATCGATCTTGTCATTCAACTTCTCTGCTTGGGGGAGGGGGGTACAGGAGAGTATAAACTAATATTTTAGTATATTGCAGCACGCCACTATCGTGGTATTGCCTACATGTGAATAAAGAAGGTGACCAAATAAGGCGCGCGATGTGACCAAATAAGGCGCGCGAAATGCCTATTGTACGACAAATAAGAAAGTGCAAAATAATATTTCAATATATTATGGCAAAATTTTCTTTGATATTTCATTTAACATTAACGTATACTTTATGTAAAATCTCTACAATTGCAACAATCTCACAGAGATTGAAATTATTTGTCTATGAAATAGCATTGACACACACACCAAAGGGGACAAAAATGATCATTTTTTCACACTATTATAGATTTTTTTTGTATGAGTGGGTCTTCGCTCCAATTTTTGGAAGTATTATACTTATAAATGTGTAAAAATATACATTTTGCGGTTAACAAAAGCATGGAGCAGAGACCCAATATACCTTAAAATACACTTTTATGACATAACATTCTTAACATTCCGAGAAATATTTGAAGTCCATTTAATCATGGGTCATATCATCAACATGATTAAAATGCCGATTTTTGTCATGAGTTTTATAGCGTTAAATCATAAAATGATTTTTGTAGAATGAATTCTAGGCAGAAAATTTTTATTTGTTATAATTTCATACCTTTCAATGATAAGAACTTTACTCTAAATACTAATTTCACACATTGAATAGTTTAAAAAAAAAACATATAAACGTTCCCAACAGAGAATATTTGATTTTATTTTGAGACTCCCCGGTACGCTCTGTTTTCCTAGAAATGACTCCCTACGTAACAATTACTATATGAACAGAAAATGTCCCGATTATTTTTTTTTTCGAAAGACTGATAAAATGTTAATTGCTTCATTTAAAAGATAAACGTTTTCTTTCGCATTTCAACTGTCTGAACCTAGCTGTAAATCTTAGATTGTGTAAATCATTCATGTTTTGACCACTCGATAGCCGTGAATCTGTCAAATAGTTTTTAAGTGTTAGAGAATACTAGACGTATATGGTTGGTGGACCAATGACCTACACAAAGTTTAACTATCGCTGTCTTCCTTCAATATTCATTTTCAGCATACCTGGGTCGAAGGCTCAAGTGAGCTTTTCTGATCGAAATTTGTCCGTTGTCTGTTGTCGTCGCCGTTGTAAACTTTTCACATTTTCATCTTCTTCTCAAGAATTACTGGGCCAATTTCCACCAATCTTGCCACAAAATATTTTTGGTAAAGGGTATTCAAGTTGTTCAAATGAAGGGCCATGCCTTCTTCCAAGGGGAGATAATTACGAATTCGTTAAAAATTAATGGCATCATTTAAAAATCTTCTTCTCAAGAACCACTGTGCTAGAAAATATTAAACTTATGTGGAAGCATCCTAAGGTAGTGAAGATTCAAGTTTATTCAAATCATGACCCCCGGGGGTAGGGTGGGGCCACAGTGGGCGATCAAAGTTTTCCATAGGAAAACATAGGGAAAATCTTTAAAAAAAATCTTCTTCTCAAGAACAGCAAAGCCATGATTGGTCATATTTATATGGAAGCATCCTCAGGTAGTGTAGATTCAAGTTTATTCAAATCATGACCCCCGGGGGTAGGGTGGGGCCACAGTGGGCGATCAAAGTTTTACACAGGAATACAAAGGGAAAATCTTTAAAAATCTTCTTCTCAAGAACAGCGAAGCCATGGTTGGTCATATTTATATGGAAGCATTTTCAGTAGTGTAGAATTAAGTTTTTTTTCTCAAATCATGACTTTCAGTGGTAGGGTGGGGCCACAATGGATGATCAAAGTTTTACATAGGAATACATAGGAAACATCTTCTCAAGAACAGCAAAGCCGTGATTGGTGATAATAAAATAAAAGCATCCTCAAGTAATGTAGATTATAATTTGTTCAAATCATGACCCACCAGTTGGTAATAATAAAATAAAAGCATCCTCAGGTAATGCATATTATAATTTGTTCAAATCATGACCCACCAGGAGTATAGAGGGACCATAAGGGGATCATAGTTATACAAAGGAATAAAAAAGATGAATAAAAATTTCTTCTTAAGAACAGCAAAGCCATTATTAGTCATATTAATTCAAAAGCATGTTTAGGTGTTGTAGATTCAAGTTTGTTCAAATTACACCCCACCCCCCACCCCCGACCAGTTTAATTATTTTTTTCAATACCGAACTGATTTCTACTTTTTCTAACCAGAGTGCTCATGTGAGGAATGTGGCCCATGGGCCTCTTGTTTTATCAATACATGTTATAAATCCGAAAAAAGACGTGACCCACGTGGTGTGTTTTAAAAGAACAAATTAAAAATACTATACGCGCCTGATATTCAAAAATTACTAATGTTTCTACACAGTTATGCATATCTGGTACACGATTTTGTCTATACGTGCTGCATACATTAATCTTTATACATGCATAATTATGATAATATATAAAATTAGATTAAGTAAATAAGGAGCATACAGCAAAAGACAAGTCGAAATTCAAAATAAAATATACAATTGTGCGACTCCCTCCATTTTCCCGAAAAACGACTCCCCTTTACGTAACAATTGCTATCTTCTGCGAAAATGTCTCAGCATTAATTTTCTCTCAGACTTGTAAGTTTTAAGTGCTGCATTTAAAAGATAAAAGTTTTCTTTCACAGTTTCAACTGTCTGAATGTCATATTGTAATTTCTGAATTTACCGGTAGTTGTCATATTGTAATTTTTGTATTTACTTCCACCCGGTAAATTCAAAAAATTACAATATGACATGAACCTCGCTGTAAATCTTAGATTGTGCAATTCATTCATGTTTTGACCACTCGATCGCCGTGAATCTGTCAAATAGTTTCGAAGTGTTTGAGAATACTAGACCTGGCGTCGGAATTTCATAAATATTATGGATTCTGTAGAAGATTACGCCAGGCGACGGGCCAGACATGAAAAAGAAGATCTTGACACTTTGTCAGAATGGATTAAATGTATCAGATATATGTTAAAATCGCGCATTAAAAGATTGAGGGGCAATATGAGATCCATCTATCCTTCTGTATTCAATAATTAAGAAGTGAAAAAAGAATTAAATAGATTACATGATCAGTACGTACTGGTCCCTGCTGATAAAGCAGGTAACAACATTTTTTTTGTAAGGCTCATTATATTAGATGTATTTTAGAGGAACTAGCTAGGATTTAATTCTACAAGTGGTAATCCAACTTATACTCATAGTTCTCTTTCTAAGGAAGAAATTCTTCAAAATCATATGTCAGTTTTGAATATTTTTAATATTCCAAACAACCAAAATGAATTTGAATTACCATATCTATATTGGATTCCGAAACTTCATAAAAATCCTTACAAACAAAAAAACATAGCGGGTTCCAGTAAATGTTCAACCAAGCCTCTTTCTTTACTCATCACTAAGATATTAACAGTAGTGAAGGGGAAACTTCTAGAGTACTGTGCAACAATATATTTGAGAAGTGGTGTAAATCAGATGTGGATACTTAAAAATTCCAAGGAACTTTTGGAAAATTTGAAATCACAAGATTTTACCAAAATCAACAGTTTAAAAACTTACGACTTTTCAACTTTTATACACAACCATTCCCCAAGATAAATTAAAATCCAGGCTTTTTGATATCATTGACAATTGCTTTTTCAATAAAAATGGAACTCGTAAATTTACTTACCTTGTCATTGGTCATTTGTAGGGATGGCAATTTGTAACCGGCTAACCGATTACTCGGTCGGAACGATGGTAATCGGTTAGAAAATCTGTAATCGGTTAGTCCAAAAAAAAAATTGAATGCAATTTTCCTAAAATTCATTTTTTTTTTTTTTAAAAAGAAACCCCTGCATAAAAGTTGATAATTTAGCGTTTTCACATATCTGTTTAAGCTGATCTGGAGGTAATTATGGCTTTACAGTTCCAGATCGCGGAGTAATTGGTCAGTTTAGTGAAGATAATTACTGATTTTAAGTTTAACACCATGTCGTTACCCCGATTGTCCTGTAATTCTTTAATGATATTAACAGATTAACTGATTAAATCACCGTTGAGCACTATGAATTGGTATGTGTGTCTTTTGCCGTTATCTATTAAATTATATTATTAGACAAACATTGTAAATTAAGGGAAAGTTCAGTCATAGTTTTGATTATTGTGACAATGCATAATGAACCTGTGTGACATTAATTATCAATGTTCGACTTCTCAGACATGTTTCATGGTTTTCTTATTTTTTTTTTTTTATTGTTTATTGAAATTGAAATTAAATATATTTACATGTAGTTTCCTGATCAAGATAAACAGAATGTTTTTAACATTTAACTTCTTTTTCAGTCTTCTTGTGTATATGAATAAAGCTACTTGAAAAAAATGTCAAGAAAATGTTTGTTTTAATACGATCAACCGGTTAATCGGTCGGAACGTCTTGCGGTTAACCGATTAGCAATTCTGTATTCGATTGCCATCCCTAGTCATTTGCAAAATTATTTTGTTAAAAAACATTCTGATTGTACACACAAGTACTCTGATGTTGACATTAAAAACTTTTAGATACTTGAGTTTCTGATTGGCAATATCTATGTGGTTTTTGGAGACCAGGTCTTCCAACAATCTATTGAAATTTCAATGGATACCAATTGCGCCCTGTTATTAGCAGACCTTTTTTTGTATTCATATGAAGCAGAATTTGTCCAAAATCTTATACGTGAAAAGAAGAAAACACTTGCTGTGGCCTTCAACTCAACATTTAGATATATCGACGACGTATTGTCAATTAACAATGATTATTTCCATTCTTATGTCGATACGATATATCCCTGTGAGCTTGAGATAAAAGATACTACAGAGTCTGACACATCTGTTTCATATTTGGATATTTTACTTGAAAAAGACGTTAATGGTAATCTAACAACCAAGCTTTATGATAAACGTGATGACTTTAACTTTTCAATCGTCAGCTTCCCTTACTTATGCAGCAGTATACCTTCATCACCTGCATACGGGATATATATCTCTCAGTTGATTCGATACGCAAGAGCATGCTCTACATATGTACAATTTCTAAAACGAGGTAAATTATTGACAAACAAGTTGATGAAACAAGAAAATCAGCAGTCTTGTTTAAAGTCATCATTTGGCAAGTTCTATGATCGATACAAAGACCTTGTCAGCAAATACAATTTATCATTGAGTCAAATGCTGACTGACGTTTATCATACTAAGTGTTAGGCCATTATTTGCACACTGAATTGTCGACGAATTTTTCCGTTATTTCCCGATCATGACAAGGAGCACACGGCGGGTGTGACCGGTCGGCAGGGGATGCTCACTCCTCAATGGCACCTGATCCCACCTCTGATGTTTTGGAGGTCCGTGTTTGCTCTACACCTATTTTGTAATGTTTAATGGACTTTTGAGCATGAATACTGTTCGTTATCTCCATATATTTCATGATATAGCTGGATCAATGACCTACACAAAGCTTAAATATCGCTGTCTTATTTATTTGTTTTTTATTGTTTTGGTTTTTATTTATTTTTGTAAGTACCTGTTACAAATACCGAAAAAAGGCATGACTCACATTCCTCCTGTTCCCGAAGCGGTGAAAATATGCTCCCCCATACAAGTATGTTGAAAACGTCTCCCCGTACTTTTAAAGAAATATGAGCTGCATTTTTGAGAATTTTATTTTGCTGTTAAAATGTGATTTTATGAAAAATCTGTATGTAACTTAAATCTTTTTTTATCAAATAGACTAAAATAAAATATTAAATTGTTTCAGAAGAAAAAATTCTGTACAATGGAATATATAGTATTATATAAGAAATCAAAATAGTACAGGACGACAATAATGTAATTTTGCTTCCATTGAAGCTTAAAATTAGTTCTTCCATCACAAATATAAAAAAATAAAAGTGTCAATGAAATAATTAATTACAATTTTGCAACAAACATTTCCGACATCAAAGTTACAGCTCATATTGCTTTAAGCGGTTCCCCCGCGTTACCCGTTGTATAGGTGAAAACAGATCTTTCCCCTTTAAAATGGTCTAGATATTTTAGAAAAAGAAAACTGATTTTTTATTACGTCAATAATATGAGATGTTTGTTGTAAAAGAAATGCAGTTTAGACAAATTAATTTTCCAATAAAAGTCGCTGGTTATACGAAGGTTGATTTTCATTTAAGCGGTACAAGTTCTATCGACCGTCTCCTTTTCTTGACAAAGGATAATTAGTTTATGAATAACATCTCAACCAAAGAAATTTGCAACGAAAGGTAGGCATGGAACTTTTGTTTTAAACAATATTCCACATGCAATGATTCAATAATCGTTATATATTCTCGGACACAGTTAGGTTTACGCTCATTTCTATATATTAGTTCATGTATATGATCTTCACACCTTAGACGATAGTGGTCATGGAAAATAAAACTGATATCTATGCGTGGAACAGAAATTAAACTTCCGTGATATTTACCATACCTTTTTAACAACCGTAATATCAGGCCTTTTGATCGTAGGAAGGAAAATCGATAATTATATTGTCCGATATGAATATCGTGACGATGTCCTCACTCTTGAAATTAAGAAGAAAAGTTTTTTTCATTCCATAGATTTGGCTGGTTTCAGCTATTTACGTATACAAAGACTTGATAATCGTCTATTCTAAAATTGATTCTTCATTATCGACGAACTCATTCTCCAAGTTGTGCATTGAGAACTTTCAGAAAATCAAACGTTCTATAAAACTCGAAGAATATGATGTCAAATGAACAAAAGCAGACCTTTAAGTTAATAGAAAAATCGCTTAATAATGTAAAAAATATGCAATGAAAACACGAGTATGAATGCAGGCAAAGCATAACGCCAAGGTATTTATTTTGGGCTTAGTGTTGATAGAGACCATCAAAATGATAAGGTAGGTTTATAAAATATTTTACAACTTTGTTTATTCTTTAAAGTATCAGTAATTACATTTTAAACAGCGGACTCATGAGTTTAAAAATCACTGCAGTTAAATGTTTACGTTACGGCACGGCTAAATAACGGGTAAAATTTCATTTATCTTTGTTCATTTAACAATGCAAGCAATTATATGAACACGTATCAATATCATTGTCACACTAAAATGTTTTATTTGAGGAATATGTCGAGAGGAGCTTCTACAAGGTTTGTAAACAATGTGTATAAATTGTCTTTCGTTTTATCAATTTACTTCAGAAAAAAGTGTAATGTTGCAAAAGCAATAAAAACAAACTTTTTATGTATAATGATAATACTGGAAAACATGTAAGATCATATCGAACTGATACACAGTTGTGTACAATTAAGTGCTTCGTATTGATTCGACATTGTTTTTCCCTTCAACACTGTATATGTTCTCCTGGCTTGAAGTTTGACAAATATAATGTACACTCAATTCGACTGTATTATTATTAAAATAATTCTTTTTTCAAACAGTTATTGTACCGAGTGGGGATTGTTTTGAAATATGTGTTTATATAAGTGAATCATTACGATTTTCCTACATTTTGTTTTAGGTAAAACATGACGACTAGAGATGGGCTGTGGAGGCAGTAAAGAAATAAAGGGTGAGCAGCCAACCCCAAGCACTGGAACTAAAGAAGCACAACCTTCATCTGCGAAGCCTGTATCTAATGGATCTGTACAACCGATAGCAAACGGAAATGCTGAAATCACCGAGGGTGAGGAGGAAGAGACGGGATCGGACTGTTTGTTCATTTCTACAGATCCTGGCAAAGAAACAGTAAGAACCGTAAATAATAATTATTTCCATTAGAGTCATAAACTCTTATCTTAGGCCAAGGCATCTACTCAAGAACAAAATTTATGTGTGTGAATCGTGAATCACAGTTTACGCTCAATCATAGTACAACTGCATGAGACGGGTTTCATAAAATATGCTTGAAAGAGATCCTTTTGTAAAACAGAGAAAGATATTTTAATCTTTATGGGAACATGTATCTCAATAAACATCTCAATGAGTTATCTACAAAAATTTTATATAATAGAGGAATGTACTGGTTGACATTTCGGTGTATTGAGAGTGCATTTAGCATATTTAAAGATCCACAGACCATCAGTGATATCTTTGGTGATATACAAAACCCGTCATCAAATTTGTAAGAGAGCAATGATCATGTAGTTTTGATTTGTAGCTGTTGACAAGTTACCGGTTTGTTTCTTATGATGAGTCTGTCCCGCTATCACGTACGCCAAAATGCATTTAGTATTCTGTTCCATAATGTTTAGCTCACCTGAGTCGAAAGCTCCCAAGCTTTTCTAATCAAAATTTGCCTGTTGTCTGTCGTCATTGTTGTTATCGTTGTTAACTTTTTACAATTTCATCTTCTTCTCCAGAACCACTAGGCTAATTTCAACCGGCCAAACTTGGCCCAGGGTATTCTTAGGTAAAGGGGAGTTTGTTCAAATGAAGGGCCACGCCATTTTCTAAGGGAAGATATTTAAGAAAAAGTAAAAATTGGTTGAAGTCATTTGAAAATCTTCTCAAGAACCACTGGCCCAGAAAAGATGACACATGTAAAAGCTTCTTGACATAGTGAAGATTTGTGTTTGTTTGAAATAAATCATGACCTATAGGGGTAGGGTGGGGCCACTATGGTCAATCAAAGTTTACATGGATATAAATATAGGGAAAAATCTTTAAAGAATTCTTCTCAAAAACAGCAAAACCATGATTAGTCATACTTATATAGAAGCACCCTCAGATAGTAGGTAGGGTGGGGTTATAATGGGTGATCAAAGTTTTACATAGGAAAACAAAGGAAAAATCTTTAAAAATAACCACAGGTAGTGTAGTTTATAATTTGTTCATTTCTGACATCCGGAGTTAGGACGGGGCCATTCTTTATAAATCTTTTTCTCACAGCAACTAAAGTCATGATTATAGTGATATTATATGGGAAGTGTCCGCAAGTAGCATAGATTCAATTATGTTCAAATCATGACCTCCTGGATTATCTATCAAAAACTTTTACATAGGAAAAGCTATGATCCTATTAGCTACAATGTATTAGAATTTTACATAAGAAAACATAGGAAAAAAATCTTTTTAACAAATTCTCAAGATTTGCAAGGCCGTGATCAAGATTTGCAAGACCATGATCAGTCATATTTATATGGAAGCAACCTCAGATAATGTAGCTAGAAGTTATATTCTAAGATATATCCTCATCCTTATTGATAATCTGCCCGCTGGTTCTTGAGAAGAAGATTTTTGGCAACCAATACTTTGTTTTTATTTCCCTAATTATCTTCCCTTGATTAAAGGTCACATTTCCTATTTTTAGTATAAAAGAAAACCCTTTGGTCAAGGATTCTATGTGACAATTTTGATAAAAATTGGCCAAGGGGTTCAAGAGATATGGCACACATTCCAAAGAGTTAATGCACACAGCATCAATGGCCATAGCATTAGCTCTTTGAGCCTCAGTCAAGCTAAAAATGGGCGATTAAGGACACCAGTAGTAAGCGTAATGCTGACAGTGTTTTCTATGGAAAGCCACAGGGGACCCCCAAGTCATGTTCTATATATTCATAGTAATTCAATCTTGGGCGGTCATGTTTACAATCCCGGCCAAGTCATGATCGGCCACACGGGACTCCCAAGTCATGTTCTATATATTCATAGTAATTCAATCTTGGGCGGTCATGTTCTATATATTCATAGTAATTCAATCTTGGGCGGTCATGTTCTATGGCTTTCCATAGTTTTCCCTTTATTTTAAAGTAAAGGGTTAGAGATCAATTGTAACAGGCTAAGGGTTGATGTTTATGAACAAAATCTCTGTGGATCTTACGACAATCAGTGTTTTTAATTTTTGATTTCTGAGCGGCATTTTTATCAATTGAAGCGTAAATTTGTCCGGTAGCTGGTCCTTGTGGAAAAACTGAATGCTCTTTGATAAATCATTGCCTGAGAGATAGTTTTTTGCTTTGATCTTTCTTTTGTTTTGTTTAGAACTTTATTTTTTGAATGCCCATTGTTTGATTTAAACCAAAAATATCAAAAATATCAAAATATCAATAAACAATAAACTATTAATACAATTATCTATAACCACAAGTTTAGATACATTAAGTAATTTTAGTTTTTAAGCTTTACATATGCAGAATATTGCATCATTGGCGCGTTCATTAACATTAATATCTAGATAATGGTTCTAAACACTCTGTGAACAAATGAAAAAAAGATTTTTCCGATATCTATTTTTACATGATTCCTATAATTTTAATTACAGCTTAAAATAGACGATGAACCACAAGAATATAACCACATTAAACCCTCTAACGAGACACCGGAAAATAACATTAAAAAGGCTACGAATGTTAAATTCTTTGAGGACTGGTTCCCAGTATATCCAACGGAAACGGACACTGATTCCAGACCGAGAACGGTAACACATATAGAACTCAACATCCCCTCGTCACGCAAAAAACTCACAGTAGCCGACATCGACAAGAGGGCCCGAGAGGTAATTATATATACGTCTTTGCCGTCCCAGGTTGGTTTCAAGTTAAAATTGTTGGGAAGCTCAAATTCAAGGACTGAACTTGCAAGGATGATGCATCATCTAAGGTGCAACAGCACTACACTCGGATGTTGTAACTTATATACATAAGAGTTATATATATTTTCTGAACAAGTGGCAAGATTTAAGTTTTAAAGCCGGTTTAATCACAAGCAAACATATATGCACTACCTGGGCCGATCTTGAAAGGATGGTACATAGTATTAAACACCTTTAATAAAATGTTGCAAGTGGCATGTATCTTTTTTCTGAAAGACTTAAATCATTAATCATTATGATGAACTTATATGCAGGAAATGGATCTTAATTATGGTACAGTGTATGTGAATTTGCCTTACTTAGCAAAAACACATTACGAAATGAACTGTAATATTTGATTATTATATATGTTTGCTATTGTGAAAAAAGATTACCACATGCAAGAACAATTAAATGTATACATGTATATTTTACAACTGAATGATATACTGATTCCATAATTTTTTTTACTAAAGATTATAACATTTCTCTTTTGTTTAAATTAATTTATAGACTCCTAGAGACCAAATCTCCAGTTTCAAGAGCCTAAAGGACTACTTGTTACGAGATCTGGAAGGTCAAACTGACCGTGAGCGACTAGCAGTTCGGGCAATTATCGTCTGGCTCAGTGTACAAGATGAGACGAAGTTCAGTTCCTTACCAGGGAATGAGGAATCACCAGAGGGATTTCTCTCTCTACTAGCTAAAAAACAAACTTTGTTCTCCACTTTTTTTACGGTTCTCTGTAGGTACGTTTTAAATAATTTAGGATAGAATTCTAATTATTTACTGTAGGAACATAGTAAAAGCATCTAAAAGATGTTTCTTTTCACTTTAGAAAATTTGGTCTGACGTGCGTCAAAGTTCCAGGAGTATCTAAAGCGGGAGATTATCAGCCAGGTGATGTAATTAAAAAAGAAGTCAGTGCAGATAACTGGGCAGCAGTTTATTTTGAGAACACCTGGAATATCGTGCACCCATTCTGGGTCTGCAGAGGACTTTTTGGTCATAAACCTGGCGGATGGATAAAACTAGAAGCGGGTGGTCAAGCTGTTGGCAAATCAGAGGAAGCTTCAGCAGGTGTATTGAGGAGTGCGTTCAAAGAGTACTATATATTTCCAAATCCAATGGAATTTATTCACTCCTGTCATCCAGATGATCCAAAATGGCAGATTTCAAATAAGAAAATTAGTCGAAAAATTTTCGAAAAGATGCCTTATTTGTTACCTACCTTTTTTGGAATGGGATTGAAGTTATTATCGACTGAGAGCTGTTTGTTAAATACAGTCGATGGTGTGTGTCTCATCCAAATTCAAGCCCCACTTAAAAATGCAAATGAAATTGATCTGTGGTATGAACTGTACCTTAAAGAAGGAACTGGACAAACTGAGGAAGAAAAACGCATGTTGCAACGGGAAAATATTCCTAAATTGGTGGCAATGATTAGATGTGGTGACTTGTGGCAATTCAAGTTATCACTGCCGATAAAGGGAACATTCAAAATTTGCTGCTATGGAGGTCCGTATAAATCAAAATTGGCAAGAATAGCTGAATTTAGAATCGACTGCAAACAACACAAGAAGGACTGTAATATATTACCTTTTGATCCTGGTCGTATTGGCTTTGGCCCCGGACCAGCTGCTGCAGAAGCTGGATTTTTCGTTCCATCCCACGCTGGAGGATTGGTTCCTGTTAAAGTCAACACGAAAATAGAAATAACATTCATTGTGGAAAGAATAGTGATCGAACGTACCACAATTCGAGCGACACTTTACAGTACGAAAATTGATCAGACGGTGCTTGAAAATCTTGTCAGTGTTCATACTAGTGAAGAATCGAACACTGTTCATTTTGAAGCCCAGGTGCCAGAGGATGGGGAATACGCTTTATCAATCAAAAAAGTCGAACAAGGACAAACAAAAGCAACTATGACGACATCCCAAGGGAAAAAAGAGACACAGTCCCAGTTTCAAGAGAAGACAACCACCGTCTGCAACTACTTGTTGTCCACATTGGTGAAAACGAAAGAGGTGAATCTTTTATATTTTCTAGAAATTTGCTAAGAAGTCGCTTTGGTCAAAGAATTTCACAGTACTCGTATAAATTCATCAAATTTTGAAGCTTTCAAATGTAATTAGGTTATAAAAACAATGAATAATATAGTATTGAAGAAAGTGTATCTTTAGCTTCCTTCACTGGACTATGTTTACAAGCATTTCCTAGAATATGTATATTTCATAAACTGATGTAGAAAACTTTAAAAACTGACAGCGTTTTGAGATTTCAAGCTTTTTATGTAAAAAAAAAAAAAAAAAAAAAAAGAGCATGTATAAAGATTTATTATTTATCTTATGATCATGTCTAGAAAGCGAATCAGAGAAATGCGAGAAATGAACTACAAACCACAGTGGCTATGGCTCCGACGTCTGGAGAGGGGTTAAAACATGGCATTGAAAATATAGAGAACGGTATTAAGCGTTGTATGAAGCAGGATATTCCGCCTACAGACGACCAGATAGTGGCGGCAAAATCTAAACTGGAGCTGTTTAAATTAAAGAATGGTAAAAGAAATTATAATTGAATTAATTCTCAAATACTATAACTCTCTTAAAGAATGTAAGGGAGATCAAACCATTTGCTACATGTAGCTAAAATGGTTTCTATCTATAATGATGACAATATTCCGATAAAAGAAGGAAATGAGATTCAACCACATTTAGGGCAAAATTTAAGACAAATAATTTCAAAATGAAAAAAAAAAAGATAATGGAAATTTTATCAATTTAAGTTATATTTCTCAATCCTTCTTAAAGTGAATAGACAAACTGGACCTAAAATAAATATACATGCTGGACCTAGAATAAGTAAGACAAACTAGACTTGATATATGAAGACACAAAAACGTAAAATGATTCAACAAACAGGACCGAAAATAAACGATATCCAGGACTCGTAAATACATTTCAATTTTCTTGGAATGTACATGGCTCTACCTACTGTTTTAAGAGGGGTCCGAGTTTGCTACGGAAGGGGATGGGGTCTAAGGTCATTTTTGGGGTTACTTTTACATGGAAATTTTATAACTCTGAATTTCTGGGGGAGGGGGCCCTCCTACATCCTTCCCTGTAATCTCCTGGCTACTGCATAGTATAACTTTCGATGAATGATCCAAAGTTGTTCGAAGAATTTAATATTTTTCATTTGACCAAAGTATACAGACTTCTTAAAATAAAAATTAAGTATAAAAATATATTATAATTATTATTAAATATCTATATTTAGTCTCTATTTAGTTTTGACCATATATCTAATTCAGAGGTTCGAAATGCGCACTTGCGTCGTAATATACATGTGACGAGGAAGACCATTGAGAAGTTAAAGACCTCCACATACAAACGGATCTGTGAAAAGGAAATTATAGACCTTGAGGAGTTCGAAAAAGAGCTAGAAAAATTAAACAGATTTCCTCAGGAACCTCCAACATTACACTGGGCTATTGGGGAACTTGCAAATTCTCCTGTTGTGACGGAAGAGATCGTTAACACAGTGAGGGCATTTCTCCTACTTCTAGGGGAACCAGTCGAAGCATTAAAGGTATTATAAAAAAATTCTTTTCTGCTGAAAATTTCCATACTCAGGACCATGAAGTTACATAAATCTCAAGTATTTATGTACACAAGTTTAATAAGTACATGTTATTCAGTGCCGGATCCAGAAATCTTGAAGGGGGGGGGGGGCGACCAGTTTGGGGTCGGGGTAGAGGCCCATGGCCACACCAAAAAAATTGACTCATTAAATCTTATGCATATTTTGGACACAAAAGGGGGGCGGGCCCCCTGGCCCCCCTCTAAATCCGCCAGTGTTATTGCTCATGCAGTCATGATGTTATTGTATTTATTGTGTCGTCTACATAGCTTTTGGGTTCAAGCATTAATTTGATGCAATTATGTAAATGTTAAGTAATGTTTGCATAATTTTTGCATTCCGTTTTCTTCGGATGGACAGTAGCCATTTTTCCCCATTTTAGGTACAGATCTTTGTTTATCTTTGTACATATAGATAGAACATTCTATTGTTGAAAAAGATATTGTACTGCAGACCCATAAATTCGTTCCATGTAATGGAAATGTAGCAAAATAACCATGGGCGATAGCTCGAACTCAGTGCATTTACATGTACTTTGAACAATCTAGAGAGTTTTGAACGACAACATGGCGTGTAAATTCGAAGCGAGAAAATGAGTTGAAGTTTCGTCTTTCAGTGGATTATTTTTTAGGTTAAAAGGCATATACAAGCTCCAAAAGGTTTGTTATGATTGATTCGATAATTTTTTTTTCAGTGCAACTCCTTTTGTATTCGGAGCGGCCGATCTGCTCCGATTTGCTACATTGCAAACTATATATACATGTAGGATATACTCGAACTGTGGTGAGGGCTTGTCCCGAGACACAGATTATTCTAACTGTTGTACACACAGTACGGGACTCAAAAAGACACAAGAACTTTGTAGTGTTAACTCTGATAGTTTACAATTCAGTCTTCGAACTTAGGTGGTAGACCAAAAATGTATATGAGAGCAAAAGCGCTCAATAAAGATATCATTTCCAAATGAGATTTTTTTCTTGATTTATTATTTTCCGAAAGATATGCATTTTATTAATAAAATACAAACAATTATATCATAGCTTGCGGGGCAAGATTTATAAAAAAAGAAAAAAAAAGAAAAAGAAAAGATATTTCAACTTGATAAATCTATAAAGGAATATTAGAAATTTATGTCATTAAGAGTTATCTCTCTTATCAGAGTATCGGTGAACCTTAATACCTTCTATTAAAAAGGAATCCATTTTGCTTCATATATCGACTACAGTTCAGTATAAGAGCTTTTCAAACGAATATTACATGTTTGCTTGGTGATCGGGGGGCCCGGTTTTGATTCTCGTTCGCCACGCCGCGTCAGACCTAGAACGCAAACATTTTATTGTTCCTTCACCAAGCGCCCGGTATTGGAAGTGAAAATCACGGGTCTTTCGGATGAAACCTGAAAAACCTAGGCTCCTTTTCACGGTAGGCGTTGGCACGATAAAGAACCCTCAATGCTCAAAGGGCGCCGAGTATAGGTATAAATTTGAAGCCCTTTACCAGTATATGTTGACGTGTCTATACAATCATGTACGAGTGAAAATTCTCGAATGGGACGTAAAATAACATACAATCCATACATCAATCAAACGAATAATATTAATAGGGAAAGTATACACTAAATACTGATGTTTTCTTCATAACTTTTGTAACTGATAAAATGTATTTTTACAACAGCAAAAAAAAAAAAAAAAAAGAAAACAATAATACTCAATTTACATACCGATATAAAATTTTTAAAAAATGAAACGCTTTCGAAAAGCATTTATTGTGATTGTGAAAGTAGGAAATGTTTGTTCATAAGAAACTGATCAACTCTATATATATAATTTTTGCTCCGTCCATTGATAAAGCAACTCTGCATCGAGTATCGCGACAGAAGATAATTCATTACAGTGAACATCTTACTATTTCTCCTGAAACACACACGCTCTTTTTCACATCAGCTACTGCGTACTCTTTATATTTTTACAGCTTAATTTTTGACAAAAAAAAATTACTGTATAAAACCACTTATGCGATAACTTACTTGATAAATGTCTTTCCCCCAGTTTTTGTACAAATCCTCGAAGAATATATGTCCTGAGTTTAAACATAAACCTAAATTCGTTTGAAAATCTCTTTTACAGAATAAATTAAATAAATGGATGGTTTAAGATCATAGAATATAAAATTATGCTTTGTTATCGTTTTGCTTTATATTATCTTTAAGAAATTCTTACATACTTACGTGTACACGCATATGTGTTGGCATATTTTAGACCTGGAACAAAATTCTTGATGTCATACGTCCACCAGCGGAGAATCTGCCACTCATTAGCCTCACGGCACGTATCAAAGAAAAGGAGGGTTCAAATGAGTCACTGGACAATGCCAGATTAAGTGACGTCCAGGAGTGTTTGAGGAAGTATACCATTGATCAAGTCAGAAATATTAACGTTGGTGCTGCGGTTATATATGAATGGGTAAGAATAAGTGTGCAGTTTGAAGACCTTCCTACATCTTCAAGCATAAGAAATGTCTGAATTTTTTTATTTATATGATTCGTAAAGCATTATTGAATATGTCTAGGTCAATAACTGATAGATTTTAAAATCCGAATGGTGCAATTAAAGAAATCATCAATGCTGTTGTAAACGTCTAATATTCAGAAATACCGACAAGATGCAGTTTAAGCTTACACGACTCAAAGGCACAAATGAGCGTTTCTGATCAAATAGTTCCCGGCGTTTGTCTGTTGTGTATTGTTCGAAAACTTTTCACAATTTTAACATCTTCATTAGAACCAGTTGCCCATTTTCAACCGAAATTGCCCACATAGCATACTTGCATGAAGGGAATTTAAATTTGCCCAAATGAACAGCCACGCGTTCTTTAAGGGGATAATTATCAAATAATAAGATAGATCACGATCAGTCATATCATATGAATATGCACTCATTCTCAGGAAGTGAGTAGTGCTGATTCCAGGTTGTCAACCCATGGCTGCCTGGGATTTGGGGGGGGCGACAATATGGTGATCAACGTTTTACATAGGAATGTATTAGAGACAAGAAGCCCACGAACAACAACGCTGCCCTTTAGAAGATTGTTTTATGACTTTTCTCTCTATATTCACATTATATTCACCCGGTGGTACCTTAACTGTTTTGTAAACAGGGCACGAGCTCTGTTTTTGTTAATGTTTACGTTTCTCCGGGTGTGAACAATTTGTTAAATTTGCACGCATCACTGAGCACGGACTGACAATACTGGTGAGTTGGTTTTGATTCCTCACATTTCTACTCCGAATTTTCTGGATTATATCTTTGATTTTTTTCATTAATACACAACAAAATTTCTACTTTGTGAAACTGCAAGGATGTGTCAATCAAACGCGTCCCGAAATTTGTAGTTTCAATAATTTCCAGTTAAAATAAGTTTTTTTTTAATTATATTTCCGTGTGAAATGCTACAGCAACATGTAAGTCTTGATATGATACTGAAAATTCGAGAAAATATTAACTTCAAATATGTGCATGTCTATGCCCCTTTAAAATGCAAAGTATCCTCATTAATTAAATGAAGTTAAAGTTTAGTTTAAACCGTGCCCCAGGATTGAGAGAGGGTCCATAACTGGGGATCAAATTCTTATACAAGAATCTTTTAAAAATCTGTTAACAATTTCTAAAAAAAAACTTGGCCATGACAATAGTATTTATACATGTATGCAAGCTTTCGAAAATAGTGCAGAATCGCATTTGTTAAAGTCGTTGTCCCAGGGACTCGGACAAGGGTAAAACAGGGATTCAAAATTTAGAGAATATAGATGTAAAGAAAATTGAAGGATACACCAAAGGCTTTTTTCGAGATTTTAAACAATTTTGAGATTTTTGGCTAAGAAAAAGAAGTTAATTACTGCTTTACAATGCATGTAAAATTCTTTATATTTATGAAATGGTTTTCTAATTATTTCATAATAATGAAACATAAACACTACCACATGTGAATGTTCCGTTATTGAAGCTTCTGATTTGTTCTGTGACTGCCTGCTCATGAAAGACGCAATAAATCACTGTGACCAATTGAGGAATTCTTCACTAGCCACACAGAAGTTATCAGTAATTAAACTACAGGGACTACAGATTTACAGAAGGAGATCTAACAGATCACTGATGACCATAAAATAGGAGGTGGAGCTTAACTCTTGCCATTTTGCCTGGAAATCTTTCTGATTCAGAATTGAACCTATTTTACTTAATTAAAAGCATCTAAATACAGAAAAAAACCTCCCATTCTTGTGAATATTCATAGGAAATATAACTAAGTGACAGGTATCCGAAGCTGAATCTCCAAGGTGTCATATATTTCTAGCTTTGGCAGATTTTGTTGTGTAATGGGTTTTTGCCCTCTCCTGTAAAGTAAGATCAGATAGTCTGTGGTATTATTATATACCCAAGTGTGTATCACTCAATTTTACTGTATATTTCGTACAATCACGTGACGGTGTGATCCGACTTTCCGGATCACCACACTGTGGTTTTCTGAATGCATATCACCCCTCTCTGAAATTGATGACATAGTACACAGAAACATGACGTTATTTTTCATGCGCATCAAAAAAGTTCCTGGACAAAATGCTTTGTTTAATGGAAAAATCTTATATAATTGATCTCAAAAGTTTTTAAAACTATATTTTGCTAGTTGTAAAGGGGGTATATAATAAATTTATCATTATAACAGCAACTTGATCCGAAGAGTCGTATCACGTCGAGTTGACAGGCGCGGATCATCAGATCAAACGAGACGCGAAGCGTCGAGTTTGATTGATGATCCGCGCCTGTCAACGAGACGTGATACGACTCTTCGGATCAAGTTACTGTTATAATAATGTATAATTATTTCAAAGGATTCAGCTCCCTTATTTATTGACCATTTTCTCTGAAAATTGGATGGGTTGCTTCTCAAATGTGTGTTCACAAAACCGTATCTCAGATTTTTGATATGTGGCTTAGTTTTGGAATTATTGAGGAAAATGTTAACGAGGTTGGATCCTGATATTTAAAGTCTTAAACTTATTTTGTCAAGTATATTTTTAGTTTCTACACACATAGCTTAATTAAAAATCAGAACAAAAAATGGGGGTCAATATGCTTCTTTTGGCACTGCAGTACATTTAATATGACCTTTTTGCACTGAAATTTGTGTCTTAATCAAAAATCAGATCTTCGACGTTTTCCCTTCAATGTTTTTATCAAAATAAATCATGGGACAAAATAAACTATTAGTCTATTTAAAAAAAGACACATTAAAATTGTGACTAAGAAAAAAAGTTTCAAATTGCTTCGCATAATCAATTATTTGACCTTTCTGCACTCACAAAATGTGATTTTTCTGGCATTTAAAAATTTAACAAGCAAGAAAATTATTTTAAAGTCTTAAACTTTTGCTGAATTTAAGCAGATTGATCAACGTTATCTTATATATTCAGAAAAGAAAAACAAAGTTGGGGGTCTATGATATAAATTTTTAGATATTACTTAAAAAGTGTTAATTTTATGTTAAAATTGGCTCAATTTTTTCCTGGACTTTCAGATTATATGTACTATATTTGTCACAATACAATAAAAGAATTCATAAGAAATAATTTAATAGATATTTCAGAACCAGCATTAAACATATCACTGCAAAAACAGCTCTGTGTGACACCAGCATGGAAAAATAGGAATCTAAACTTAACAGTACTGTATATATTTCAAAAGGGAAAAATTGATCATTTTCTTCTAAAAAACCTTCCGCCACAAAATATAGATCCTGGCTTAATGCTATTTGAATGGAATTTAATCGCGTTTTTTTTTTCATTGGATATAGTTAATTTGCATTGTAGAATCCAGATTTAATGTTAAAACTTAAAAATGATGCAGAATTTTAGAAATAAAGGTCCAGACCAAAATCTGCTCAAAAGCTCAGGATCGAACCTCCTTACATTAGGCTAATAAATTGGTAACATTGAAGTGCAAATGGCTGTAACTTTTGAAATAGAAGATTTATCAAATATCTGAGATACAGTTTTAAAGTTCAATCTTTAATCTTCCTTGAGGCAAAATGACCACTTTGGGGAGTTAAATACAAAAAAGTTGATTTATAAAATATTTATCCACTAAAATTTACTCTAATATTAAAATAATTTTTAAATAAGTTATTAATTAAAGTTCAAATTAGGATAATTAAATAGTAAATTTAACAAGCTTTCAAATGATATATACTTTCATTATGTTATCTTTGATAATGAAAGAATTACATGCAAATTAAATTCTGGCATTTGGAAACCTTTGGTGTATCCTTAAACAAACCCTTTTTTCAATTGTAGCAGAGCCACACTAAATCAAATTAATATTTTATGCATTATGAGCATTTTTTAGTTTCTGTATTCCAAGCGTTTTCTCTCCAAATTATCGACCTTTGCGTTAGGATGTGACTATAATCGAGAAAGCAAATTTCATGTAATGCATGCATACAGGATTTAAAAAAAAAATCCCCCTTAAATCTTCCCCTCCAAAATAGCTAGGTCATATTAGTCATATTGATACTGAAGCATCCCCTTGTATCTGAATTCCAGTTCGTTTAAGTAATAACCCCTTCGAACTTGGATCTAGTCAAAATATTATAATATTGGATATCGGGTCAATTAATAAAGAGGGAAAACATTCAAAACAAAATTTTTTTCTGAAGAAAAGCAGTGCCAAGGTGTCTAATGTGATTGTTGGGCTCATGGGCCTCTCGTAAAGATATCTGTTTAAATCCTATTTTATTGTTTGATGTGAAATCTTACATCCTTATTAGATGTTCACAAAGAATTGTTTACTATTTTAACCAAGTGAATGATTTCCTTATACCTAAATGTAAAATGTATATATCGCATTTAAATTTCAACTCTGTAAAATCGTATATACTAAGTTCAAGAAAGTTGAATATGAACGTCTTCCATGAATATATTTAAAAACTATAATGCGTATTGATACCACATTCTTGTTTGTTGCTTTTTGCTTACTCATACAATACATATAGGTCCCATATATCAACTTCCAAAAAATACATATCTTGTGGTATTTTTACGAACAGCGTTCATTGCTACTTCATGATTTATTAGCTCATACTTGTATTGTAACATACCTGAACGACAGTGAATAAGATTAAAACCTATTGTCATAAAAATACATATGGAAAAAGCTAGATAAACAAACTTATAAAGCGAATGGACATTTTTCCTGATGTTTTTTTTAGCCTTGCCTTAACAATCATTTGTACATACTTATGGCTTATCTCATATACTGATTAAAATATATCTTTTTTGTACTATTGGACCGATAATGTCCTTGTGAAGATTTTGTTAATGTAATTGTTTTCTAAAGCTGCTGCACTCGCGCATGCAAGTTTAATGTTCATTTGAACACGCTACTTTACCTTGAGTTGTCTCGCTTTCCTCTCTATTTTGTCAGCAGTTTTATGCCCTGTTCACACGGAGAGTTTAATTCGAATTAAACGT